GTACCGGGTTCTCCAATATAATTTTTTTTTTGGTTAGACCAAATACATCAAAAAATGAGATAACTTCAATCATACAAATCACAAATATTTTTATGCTATCTAATTACAATAATATTTTTTTCATAATAAAAAAAAATTGTAAAGAATAACCATTAAAATAGTAGATAAAACGATTAAATAATTATGAGGGGGGGTTTTTGACCAAATCTCCCAAAAGACATGGGGATTTGGAGAAATTAATTGAGTTTTTTTTTTAAATCAAAAAATTAGAAAATAAGGATTGAGATATTGGAGCTCACACAAGACTTATGGGTTAAAAATCTCCTTTTGCTTAATATATAGCATAGATAGATAGATAGATATATAGATATAGATAGATAGATGATATATAGATATAGATAATATAATATAGATAGATAGATGTGTTGAAATTTTTAAGGAATTTTGTTTATGCTGGTCTTTAATGCATTAAAGTTTAATTATGAGGGAGTTTTGACCAAATCTCCCAAAAGGCATAGGGATTGGAAGGAATTAATAAATACTGAGTTTTTTTTTTTTAAATCAAAAAATTAGAAAATTAGGATTGGGATATTGGAGCTCCCACAAAGCTTGTGGGTTAAAAACCCCCTTTTGCTTAATATATAGTATAGATGTGTTGGACTTTTCAAGAAATTTTTTTTTTATGCTTGTTCTTAATGCATTAAAGTGTTATTATGAGGGATAATAATCATATTCTTCTCTTCAGCTAAGAATATTAAGGGATTATTTGGAAATTAATAAATATATGTTTCCCGTTCCCATGTTTGATAGAGCTTATTTTAAAAATAATATATAAGATAAATTATAAATATACCTTCTAAAATTTGATTAAAATATAAATTGTTCTTGTGATTTTGAAAATTACATTCTATCTCTTGAGATTTCTAATTTTATAACAAATCGCCTATTTTATTAATAAATCATCAAGTCAATTAACAGTTTTAATGATGTTAGAAATATATTTCAATTAATAATTTAGGTAATTTAATTGTGTATAAGAGAGTAGTTAGAAATTTTATTTTTCCCATTAATTTTGTTAAATGAAAATTTTGATAACGGAATATTTGTAATTTTCAAAACTATAAGAAGTAATTCATATTTTCAGCAAATCTTAGAGGTGTATTTGTATTTTACTCTAAAATTTAATAGAAACTATTGAATTTGACATAATCATTGCCTCAACCACCATAGGCCAATGGCTTTGTTTGTTCTGGTGAACTAGACTAGATGAAAATAGCATGCTTAAGATTGTTAGATTTAGGATCATAAATTGACGTTTGAATTGGCTTGTATCAATTTTGTAATTTAATTATTTAGTCTAAACTTATGATTTGAATCCCATCTTGTTGTTTGGGATTCAATAGTCCCCGCATATGGAGAATATTATATCCGCGTGAACTATTAATCCAAATTTCAATTCTCTTAGTCAAATGTTAGATAATGCATTTTGCAAGATTGTTAGTTTAATTCCAAAGTCATATCTACCCAAATAAACATGGCCTCCCTTAGTGCAAATCGTGAGAAGCCAATTTTGGGGGTTAGGCCAGTGTTTCCTAATTTTCATGAGGTAGGCCCTTTCCAATTAAATCGGTTTTAGGTTTTAGTCTGGACCAGAACCAGACCCGATTCAATTCAAATTTCAAAAACTATTCTTAAATGAGTTTTTATTTGTTTTTAATATTTTTCCCCCCCACAATTCAGTCAATTTTTTTGAATTTTTAAATGCATCTAATTTAGATGCTTCAAAAACAGAAAACAAATTGACTAAAATATAAAAATAAATTGCTAAAAACAACGAAAATTCAAATGAAAAAAAAAATATATGTGCATTTTTATTAAGATTTTCATTTGATTTTATTAAATTTTCTTTCATAGTTTTGTTAATTTTTAGTTTTTATTTTTTTTTATACTTTTTAAATGCATCTAGTCTTGATGTATCTAAAAAGTTTTTTTTTTAAAAACAGACTAAAATATGAAAAAAAAAAATCACTAAAAATAAACAAAAATCTATCTAAAAATAGTTTCTAAAAATTAAAACTAAACTCTAAATGGATTATTTGAAAAACGACAACTCCGTGCATGAGCCACTCACTAAAACATATGAGAAATAAAAGATGTAGCCAAACAAGTTACATAGGCTTTAAATCTTACCAATATGTCAACCTTCCCAAATTTATTTTTGATGAAATCAACCATGGAAGCAATACTGGCCTGGTCTGTCACCTCAAGCCAGTGAAAAAGTATATGAGATAGCCCACAAGCTTTGAGATTTTTCACAACTTCGAGACCACGTTTCTCATCTCTTGTCGTTAAAATCACCATTATCCCATTAGAAGCTAATTGTCTGCAAATCTCTAGCCCAATTCCTTTGTTTCCTCCAGTAACAACAGCAATCCTGAATAAAAAATAAAGATGTGAAAGTGAAGAAGATTGAGAATCAATCAACACAGTAGTTGAAGACTTAATTTAATTCAAAAGAGTGAATAACATTGTCATATGAGATATGGTATTAGTACCTCTTTGCTTGTTCCATTTTATATGAATATGGTATTTGCAGAAATGTAAAAATGGTGGGTTTGTATATGCTGAGGGTGGTATGGGTTTGGAGGATATTTATAGTTGGTTTTGCTGATTTTAGCCTGTTTTGTTTTGGATTGTTGCAGTGTGACACTGGACTCTGTCAAATAAATATAGTTGTTTATTAGTATTTTGTCGTATGGGATGACAACATTAGCCCATATCCATTCAAGCAAAACAAAAGAACACGTATGCTATGAGATCATCAAAATTAATTGTGTAAATTACATTATTAATCCTTCTAATTTGAGTAAAAATGTCACTTCGATTCTCGTAATTTTAATTTGAACAATTCGGTCTTATAATGTGATCCCTCCATCAAGCATTACTAAGATTTTGAACAGCAAAAACCACATGCAAACTTAAGGGGCCCAAACAAATTATAAAAACCACCAGTGTAACGAATATATTACACCGATGGTCCCCATAATTCGTTTTGAATTTCACTTTAGTCTCTTGAATTTTATACAAAGTCATTTCCCATTTTAAATTTTAGTGGTAAGTGACGTAGGGGCCACATTGCAGTAAAATTAAAAATGTAAGGACAAAATTGTTCAAATTAAAAACTATATAGGTTAAAGTAATACTTTAAATTACGGAAATTAATTATACAGTATAATTTACCCAAACTAATTAGTTTACTTCTTTAATGCATTCCATTCAAACTCTGTTACTTTTGTCTAGGGTTTGACAAAGATGGAATATTATAAAAAAATGGTTATTAGTAATTATTTATGTGACGCCCCGAAATAAACCCAACATGAATAATACATCAATCATGCACATTCCTCAATTACAATCATTCTCCATTCTCTGCCTCAAAAATATCCAAGGTTTATACAAAGGTTCCACATGCAATTATACATTCAAAGATATGAAAACACGTGAATCTATAGCATGTGAACATATGAACTTCCAGGTGAAAGTAAAACAAAAGAAATGCCCTTATGGGCTTACATCTTCCAAGGCAATAGCCTGGTTACACAAAAGTAGTCTCTTGAACCCATACCAAAAATAGCCCTTGGCTTTACAAATATTCACAACAAAATAAAGAGCACACTACTCTTCTCAAAACATTTCCACGCCCACAATTCGGCGGGTTCACCACATCCTTACCTGCACCAAAACCCATAGGGGTGAGCATAAAACCCAGTAGAGAATTCTAACAAAGTATATACAGTTATGCTAAACTTCTCAACATCAAATGTAAATGTGTTACCATGCCATGCCATATATCCTTATAAGAAAGTTCATTTCATGCACGTTTAAAAGTTTCTATCTTTACAACAATCATATGAACTCTCAACATTTTTCCCAAAATTCCCAATCATTAATCAATAGGGGTGGTAAATATGACACTGGTAATCCCTAGGCTGGTGTCTGCAAGTAGACTCTACAAAGAGAATATCAAAATCATGAGTCTTTTGGAGACAAAAGTGAAATCTGAAAATGAAGCTAAAATTTTTGAAAAAAGCTTGAAAAACTGGAATCTTTTGTCTAATTCACAACCAGATAGAGCTGCTAGAATTGGGATATGTTGGGATCCTAATTTTTGTAATATTGTTAGCATTAGGATGGCGGCTCAGTTTGTTTTTTGTAGGGTTACTATTTTGGAAGGGGATACTAGTTTTTTTGCTATTTTTGTATACGCTGAAAATGAACATATGCTCAAATTGCCCTGTTTTGCTGAAATTTGCTCTTTAGTTAAGAATCGTGTGAGTTCTCCTTTAATATGCCTTGGTGACTTCAATGCTGTTAGATTCTCTTATGAAAAATTGGGTGGTAATGCCAGCTGGAATAGTTCTAAGGATTTGTTTAATAATATGATTCTTGATGTTGACCTTGAGGATTTGTCTTATACTGGGTGCCAATTTACTTGGTCCAACAAAAGAAATGAGGGAGCATATATCACATCCAAGATTGATAGAGCTCTTGTGAATGAGAAGTGGCTTACGAGTTACCCTAACTCTTCTGCCCTCTTCTTGCCTTCGGGTAATCACTTTGGATCCTAAAGTATCTAACTTTAGGAAACCATTTAAATTCTTTGATTTCTAGGCTGATCATCCAGATTTCATTTAGAAAGTTGATGAGGTGTGGAGGAAATACATCAAGGGTTCCCCTATGTTTAGGGTTTGCCAAAAGCTGAGAACCCTCAAGCCTATCTTGAAAAATCTAAATAAAAAAGAGTTTAGTGATATATCTACTAGAGTGTCCCATGCTAAGGACCAACTTGTTAGTGCTCAAATCAAACTTGACAAAGACCCTCTCAATGGTGATCTTCAAACCCATGAGAGGGTGGCCTATGCAAAGTATGTGGATCTCAGTAGTGTGGAGGAAAGACTTGCACATCAAAAGTCTAGAGTCTAGTGGTTGGGTTATGGGGATAGGAATTCCAAATTCTTCTTTAGAACTATTAAGGGAAATATTAACAAGGGTAGGATCCAGAGTGTTGTGTTGAATGATGGTGTTAGGATGCCTAAAAGTGAAGAGATTTGTGCCACATTTGTGAATTCCTTCACTGATCTTTTTGGGAAACTGTTCTCTGATAATTATGATGGCTATGATAGAATTACCTAACTTGTCAATAAGAGGGTGCCTGTGGATCAGTTCAACGATCTTGCCAGGGAGGTCTCTGATAAGGAGATTATTAATGCTTTCAATTCTCTTAAACCTAACAAAGCTCCTGGCCCTGATGGCTATTCTGCTGGTTTTTTCAAGAAGTCTTGGGAGGTTGTGGGAAAGGACGTTGTGGTAACTATCAAATCATTCTTTTGGTCTGGTGAGCTTCTCCAAGCTCTCAACAGCACAACAATAGCCCTTATTCCCAAAACTCCTAATGCTGAGAAAGTTGGTGACTTCTGGCCTATCTCTTGCTGTAACACTTTGTACATATGCATCTCTAAGATCATAGTTGATAGGATTAAAGTTGTCTCACCTGACCTCATTGACCCTGTGTAATCAGCTTTTGTCCATGGTAGGAGAATCTCGGACAATATTTTCTTGTCCCAAGAGCTTATGAGAGGCTATCACAAAAATTCTCCTACCCCAAGATGTGCAATGAAAGTTGACATAATGAAAGCTTATGATAATGTTAGGTGGGATTTTGTTCTTGATGTCCTTAGAGCTATGGGTTTCCCTCCAAATATCATTTGTTGGGTTAAGGCTTGTATTACAAGTCCTTCTTTCTCCATATGTATCAATGAGAGCCTTCATGGGTAATTTAAAGGGGCTCGGGGTCTGAGACAAGGTGACCCCATGTCCCCTTATCTTTTTGTTATGGTGATGGAGATTCTTTCCAAAATTCTTGCTGAAAAATCTACCCATCCTGATTTTAAGTTCCATTGGAGGTATGATAAAACTAAAATTGTGAATCTGTGTTTTGCAGATGACCTTATGATTTTCTGTAAAGGGGATGTGTTTACTGTTTTGGTAATTAAGGAAGGGTTAGATGAATTCCAAAGCCTATCTGGGCTGTCTCCTAGTCCCCATAAGAGTCATATTTTTTTTTCGGGGTGTGAGAAGAAGTTGCGTGACGAGCTTCTTAATGTCGTCAAGTTTAATGAGGGTTTATTACCGGTGAGATGTCTAGGTGTTCCTTTAATCTCAACTAAGTTGAAATCTAGTGATTGCGACAAACTTTTTGAGAGAATTACAAATAGAATCAAGAGTTAAGCTAACAAATGTCTTACATATGCTGGTAGAGCTCAACTGATTCAATCCATTCTCTTCTCGATGCAAGTGTATTGGTCCTCGTTGTTTATCCTCCCAAAGAAGGTTGTCAAATCTATTGAGAGTCTCTTTAGATCTTTCTTTTGGTCTGGTTGTGAGCTTAGGAAATATGGGGCTAAATTGTCTTGAGAGCATGTCTGCTCCCCCAAATCTGAAGGGGGTCTTGGTTTTAAATCCATAGAGGTGTGGAACAAAGCTGCAGTGGCCAAACATATCTAGTTTCTTTTCTCCGGAGGAGAGCAGTCTATGTGGTGCCAGTGGATGAAATCCTATTTACTTAAAGGTCAGAGTCTATGGAGAGTTAAAATGCCTAGTGACCCTTCTTGGGTCTGGAGGAAAATTCTATCCCTTCATCCTGTCATTTACCCTTTGATTCTGCACAAAATTGGGAATGAAGGTGATGTTTTCTTGTGGTTTGACAATTGGCATCCTCTTGGATCTTTGTGGGCGAGGTTTGGTGCTAGAGTTGTCTATGATACTGCCTTTGGGATGGATGCTAAGGTTAGTAGGATTGTTAATAATCGTTCTTGGAGTTGGCCTAGAAGAAGAAGGAGCTTCTTACTGGAGTTGATTGAGCATACCTCGCTTACATTTACTCCCAACTCTGGTAATGATACTGTTATTTGGGTGCCGTCTTCTGATGGTAAGTTTTCTATAAATTCAACTTGGAATTGGTTCAGGAAATCTTTTACTAAAGTTTCTTGGGAGAAGCTGCTGTGGGGTCCTCATAATATCCCTAAGGCAAGTATGGTTACTTGGATGGCTGTTTTGGGGAGATTAAACACAGGGGATAGGCTTAAGCTAGTTTGTATATCTCAAACCTCTATGTGTGTTTTGTGTAATGACCCTTATGAGGATCATAACCATTTATTCTTTGATTGTCCCTTCTCTAGTCGAGTTTGGGAGAGTATTAAAGGGAAACTTAATGTGAATTGGCCCCATCTCCTTTGGCCTGACATCGTTCAGTTGGTTTCTAAACGGTCAAAGGTGAATCTCTTAGTGTTGTGGTCACAAGATTTGCATTACTTGTATTGTGTATCAGCTTTGGATTGTTAGGAACAATTGCATATTTAGAAAGGAAAAGATTCCTGAAGAGATTATGATTAAAGGCATTGTGGATATGATTAGATTTCGAGTAATGTCTATTACTAACCTCAAATTGCATCCTAGTGATAGTTGGTTTTTGAGTTCCTGGAGGTTGCCTAACAATGTGCTGAAAGCAACAACAAATGGAATGAGAGTTGAGAGTTCAGTAAATTGTGGGTTGAGTGATGGTATGTCACGACCCAAACCCGGCCCTATGGGTTTAGCACCGTAACCGGCCAGTAATCCGAGATTACCGAAGGCCTGCAGAACAGTAGTATAGTAAAACAGAGTATAGGGCCTGGCGGAAGCCAAAACAGTAAATAAATAATGTCCATTGAGCTGTGACAGTCTGTATGCCAAAAAGATTTTTGAACCATTCACACAAAATTTACAGTCACACAATACAGGGACCAAATCCCTTGATAACAGTACAGTTAATAGCTGACAGTCTATACAGTAAACCAAACAGTACAGAGACAGACGGGGGAAAAACAAGACACCCCAAAGCTATAGCATGGCAATTCGAAACCTCGCAGTGAGGCACAAAGGCTGGCTTGACAAAACTGGAGTCTAACCCGCACTCCTAGCTCCGATCTGGTGGCTGAGCACCTACATATATATATAAACAGTGAGCTAAAGCCCAGTGAATAACATAATGCGTAAAGGGGTTAAGAATGAAATGTCCTTACAGTATTGAAATCAGTTCATTAACAATACTTCAGTCTTTCAGTCAGAACAGTTATTCAATCATATGTGGTACATCCATTAGCATAGCAGTAAACAGTAGGTCTTAAAGACCGAACAGTAATGGTGGCCATCAATCAGTAAATAGTAGTGGTTCCACGAGGGAACCGACAGAGATCTCTGTAACAGTAACAGTCAGTAACAGTAGTTGCTAAGGATGCCACAATACAGTTCAGAATAGAGCACATACATTCATTCAATTAACAGTAACAGTTCAGAAAGCAGTACAGTTCAATTGTTCAGAAAATAATCATTTTGAACATATCTTTACACAGTTGTTACTCACAGAGTTTGGGCTACAGTATGCTAGAGCGCGCCTCCCCAGTCGCCAACCCTACACAGTTAACAGATTGAACACACACTAAGCTACACAGTTGGGAGATAACATAATTTAACCCCTAATGCCTCGGTGTGTTCTACATCTATCCTCAACAAGATGTCTAAAACTAGGCCTAAGAATGCCTAGAATGGAATGAGGATGCAAAGATGTGATCAGAAGGCTGTTTCAAGATTTGCAGAAAAACAGAGTCCCGCTCGAGCGTAGGTTTCCCCGCTCGAGCGGTTATGCAACAAAGGTACACGCTCGAGCGTCAACTTTCCCGCTCGAGCGTACTGTAAAAGTACTGGATGGGTGAAATCTCCGCTCGACGCCCGCTCGAGCTTGAGACATGACTCCGCTCGAGCGCTCAATCCTCCGCTCGAGCAGACCGTAAAACAGTGCAGAGATACTGGATGCTCGGATTCCACGCTCGAGCGGCACTTCCCCCGCTCGAGCGGAAGTGCAGAATCTGGGAATTCCAGATTGCACCTCCAAGCTCAAAACCAAGTTCAAAAGCATCAAAACCGATCCTCTTGGGCCCATTTTTAGGAAAACATTTATAAACACATAGAATAACATGTTTCAAAGCTCAATTTTAAGAAATCAAAGCCCAAGGGTGGTTCATTCAAACCCAATTTCAAACCATTTTTCAAGAACAATATGAACATGCAAACATGCATGAATTCAAATCATTTGGAAGTTCCAATCTGATGCTCTAAGGAGCCAATTGATCCAAAAACAAGTTGAAATCAAACATGCATACATGAATTATGTTCTAATCCTACATGTATGAACTAAAACATGGCTTAACTCTACAAATGAAGCATGGATCATGCAAGAATCAAGTCTATGACAACAACAAGAAGATGAATGTCCTACCTTCGTCTTGTGTTCAAGGTTTAGGTGTCCAATTTGACAATTTGCACTTCAATTCCAAGCAATTCAAGCCAATTCACTAGAACAATTCAACTCTCTCCCTTCCTCTCTCTCTAAGGCCGGTTGAACAAGGAGAACTAATGAAATGTTTTGATTCAAGCATGCAAGGGCTCCAATGTGTTATATTGAGTGGGCCACTAAGGGTGGCAATTTGGTAATAAGTCCAGTTCATGTAATTTAGCACCATTAATCTAATTTAATCATACCTAATCAGTTTTCAGATAATTATACCATAAAATCACATTAATTATGAGGATCCTAAAACATCAATCAATTCCCGGTTCGGCCGCCGACAAGGCCTTCAATTAGCAGTTTAAACGTAAAACACGAACAGATCAAATAATCAATCAAACAGATAGATGCACAATTACACAGATAGACTCAGTCAATTAATTCCAGATTCCAGTCAGTCAGTTCAGTACTTTAATCAGTCCAATTATCAGTCATAATCAGTCATTAATCGGTAAACAGTATGAGGGTTGTTACATGGTAGCACAAATTGAGTGTTTTCTTAATGGTTTGCTCATTTTGTAGGCACATGGATAAGATGGAACTGCTAGCTGTGAGTGATAATAACCAATCTCAGTGGGTTGAGTGTTATGGGAGATACACAAATATCCATACCCCATTTCTACTAGCCATATTGAGTGTTTGTTATATATTCATGTCTACTTATCTTCCTCTGTTTTGCAGGTACATGGATCTGAAGTTTTTTGAGTGGAGTGAGAATCTAAATTGTGTGTTGAGTGATGTGAGCCCAGAAAATGTGTGTTTATATTTTATTAATGTGTGGTTTTTCTATTTCCACTTATTTTGGTCAGGCTATTTTAGCTTAAGGAAGGGTGATGCATTACTCAAAGGTTGTTGGAATGAGTGGCAATTTTGTGTAAGGAAGAGCTCTCTCTTTGCTGGTAGCAATTCTTATTGGAACAATAGGGACACGGTTTGTGGATGTAGGATTGTGCGAGGCTCCCTTAATCAATGGAAGCACAGTTTAATACATTATGCGGCTGTAAAATAGGGAATCACTAAAATTCGAAAGCATGGAAGCAAGTTGTTGGCTGTAGGGAGCGCCGATGGTGCCAAGAAATGTGTTTTATTTCCTATATATTTAATTGTCTATAGGTTGTGTTTATTAGTGTATTTGGGTGCCTACCCTTGCGGGATGTGCAAGGGATGTTTTGTTCTTCGGGGTGACCATTTATGCTGTGACAATGTTCTCGATTCTTATGCTGGGTTCCAAGAATACGTCTCTTTATGGTGCTGGTTGTTGTCGTTGGTTTATTGTAAAATTGTTTGTGAGAAGTTTAGTTTGTTAGTTGTTTGGTATTTGTGTATGGCCTTTAGTGTCTTTGGTTAGGTCTGATGTTGCTCATTTTTATTTTTATTTTTTCTGATGTATAGTTGTGGGTAGGGCCTGGGGCATGCCCCTTGTATTTTGTGTTAGCTTTTTGTTTTTATTTATGACATACTTACCCAAAAAAAAATGTAGACTCTATGAGTACTACCAAACTGTCATTTTTACCGGTATTAACCGGAAGGCTCGACACCTAACCGCGCGGTTTTCTGGTCTTTCACCAAGGACACTCGGGCCAACTTATTAAATTCAACTACACCCCCTATCCAGACTTACCATGTATTTACCCCATTCACATTTTCATAATTCTCATTACAATATGATCTTTCTCAAAATAATTGTCTTTCCAAAATATGTCAAGGTGCACAATAATAATAACTCAATTGAAATATGATCCAACGATTACTATTCTCAGAATATCTCTACAACAATAACAATCAATCCATTTCTCATTTCTTCCCTTTAAGTCATTTCACAAAATACCCAAGTGTCTTCAACACA